TGCTGACCAAAGGCCTCTGCTCACACGGAATAGATGTGGTAGATGTTCCGCCCACACGCACGAAGCGCTTCGCTTCAAGCTTCCTTGTGCGTACTGCTAAAGAGTGGAATTCTTTGCCAGAGTCTGTATTTCCTGAAGGGTATAACCTGGGAGTCTTCAAGGCCCGAGTGAATAGGTTGCTTATGGGACGACGTGCTCCATCGTAGACCGCATCATCGCTTACCATCAGGGGAGATAGTGGTCAAACGTCGCCCCATCAAATATATATATATATAAAAAAAAATAGGTTTGAGCATTATCACCACGCTTGCTCAATGCGAGTGTCGCCTAATGTTTGATTCCAATAGACTAGTTCTTCTCCAATACAATGGTCCAATTAACACATTAAACACCACGGTGGTCATTGGTGACTGACTTTTTTTATAGGGGGAAAATCATTGAGCCTCTGATCTTACTGTTAGTCAGTCACTACTACAGACCACCACGGATGGGGCCCAATAGGGCTGATGGCGATACGGAGCCACGGAGAACTTAACGGGTTACCGGGGCTCCGGCTTGAAGTGCAGGAGTAGGAACGGGGTGGTTTTTAGTCAGTAAGAGTCTGACACTCCCTCCCTCCTTACCCAGGTGGATGAAGTCATTCGATGATTTTCCCATTTCCTACCCTTCGAGCCGGAGCCCCGGCAATCCGTATAGTCCTCCGCTGCTCCGTATCGGCATTAGCCCCATTGGGCCCCATCCGTGGTGGTCTGATCGCTCTTTGAGGCGCGCGCGGGACTCTCGGCGCCGTTCGCTTGGGTCTGGTTCTGGTCGGGCGACGAGCTACCCATGCTTGCCATCCGTAGGCCCATGCTTATGGTGGCCGGAGATGGTCACCGGTGACCGACGTTAGCGGAGGACTTGCCTTAGTTTTTCAACAATTTTTTATTGTCAGTCAAAGCCTTAAGCAGTTTCCTACATGGTTAGCAAAGCACTCGTGCTACATAGTGTTGCAGGTGTTCTTAGACCACAGTGTCTGCTTACCATCAGATAAGACGTAAGCTTTGTTGCCACTAATAGTAGTGTAAAATGTATGTCGTTGGCCGAGTGCTGCCGGGCAAGGGGTTTCGGGTTCGATTCTCGAGGCGGGCAAAGTACTAAGGGGTTTTAAAAAAAAATCTCATTAGTAACACTGTCTGTCTCAAATTGGTGTACAATAAAGATTATTTATTATTATTATTGTATGTCTTTACCATTCACGGGACCACAGGGTCCCGGTCATTTGGGAGGCGTACGAGGGGCCGAAGCCAACTGCGCAGAGGCCCTTTAGACAACTTTAATATAAAATATGTAATGGACACACAAACCGGCGACTATCCCTGTATGCACTATGGAAATGCACCCAAGGACAGTCTCCGGTTAGTGTAAAACTATTGTGGATAATGGAAAAAAAGATAGGGCTATGGATGGGTTGCTGTGGACTGGTAAATTGGGAACTATGGATGACTATGGCACCTGCCGAAACAATGTAATTTTTACACGTAAAAATGGCAGGCGGAGACTCGCCAACTCACCGACCGGGCCCCGGGAATGGTTGCTAGATATAGCAACAGAGGGGCAACGAGAATGTGAGTGGCTGAAGGGTTAAGAAACTACCACCGCTTTCTACTCAGATCATCTGCTCCAGCCGAAGCCTCCTGCATCCCTGGCCCACTCGCGACTTACGAATAGTTTCTTACCCTCCGAGCAGGTTCACTGCTCTCGCGACTCCACTCTGGACGGCCAATGAAGGCAAGCCAGAGGTGGGAGACCTGTTCCTTGTCATCTTTCACTCCAGCCAGCCAATTAAGGCAAGCCGGAGAAGAAGGAACGGTGCCTTCTCCCTGGAGCACTCGGGATGATGGTAGCCCGCGGGATCGCTAATGCCCGTCACCTCGCCTCAAGGTGCCCTGCGGGCTTATTATTATTATTATTATTAACACGGAGCCTGGAATTGTGCCCGGTATATGGCAATAGACTCACCCTCTATTACATGGGACTCGTAACATAAATAGTGAAAAGTGGGTGTTACATTGTACAGTGGCATAATGTGCACCTCTGCCTACCCCTTCGGGAATAAAAGGCGTCATGTTATGTTATGTTATAAAACTGAAGCTCTCTGTTCTTTATTTAAATTAAAATTTCCCGCGCAATGGATTCATACGCTATCTGTGGACAGCGTATGAATATAACTTATATGAGTATCGCACACGAAAAACCACGTGTTCAGTAATCGCTTTAGTGATTAGTTCACCAACAAATTGTACCAATGATATTAATTATCTGTTATCTCAATTCAATTATTTTTATCATTTTTATGAGTACGTTGGAAGACTATGCTTCAGCACACCTGTGACGGTTCGACCGTAATGATAGCACGACCTTCCACGAAACCGATATGAATGCATTGTTTCATTATGTGAGCACAGTTACTGAAGACCTAATCCTCTCCCTGACCCCCAATCCCTTAAATCTCGGTAACACACTTGTCACTACTCTAGTGTTTCGGGTGTCCATGGGCGGCAACGATTGCTTACCATCAGGTGATCCGTCTGCTCGTTTTTTTATGGGAAAAGCCCGCCACAACCTCCCAAACCGCTGCGACTCCTGTAAGCCAGGATCTACAGTAGATACAACCATGAAAACACCGGAACACTGAAGTCCAGCGCGTCCCAGGACCATGAATAACAGTCTTGGTTCCCGCAACGAAGTCAATCAGAAGATATTATAAGAGGAGAAGAAAACGCGACCGTCTGCTCGTTTGCCGAACTATCTAATAAATAAAGAAAACATATCCCGGGTGTTTTTAGTTTATCAAATCTTTTGAAAGCGTCTAGAAGTACGTATATACAGAGCCGTATTACCCCTAAGGCGCTCTAGACAAGTGCCGGGCGCCAGGTTACAGAGGGGCGCCGCGAGACGCGCGTGTACAACTGCCCATAGAGTGACGGCGGGGACAAAACAATTAGTCGGCGCCAATGAGGTGCTTGCCAAGGGCGCTCTCTGGGTTCAGTCCGCCTCTGCCTATGCTCGGTGTATGCCAATAGGCTCACCCCCTATTACATGGGACCCATAACATAAATAGTGAAAAGTGGTACCAACATATTGGCTAAGATATTTTGCGAATCTTACTTATATTATAAAATGTGAAAGTTTGTGTGTTTGTATGATTCTATGTTTGTATGTTTGTTACTCAATCACGTCAAAATGGCTGAAGGGATTGAGATGAAATTTGGAGCAGAGGTAGATTATAGTATGGAATAACACATAGGCTGCTTTTTATCCCACGCGAAGGCGAATGAAGCCATTGGCAGAATATATTATAATTTTATAGGTTATGTTTTACATAACGAGTATGTATCAATATACAATATTGTTATTCACATGTTGTAACGCTACCGACTTAGATAAAAAGGATTATTATACATTCATATGTATAGAATCGAAACATCTTTTCCTTAATTTGATAAATATCTTGTCGTAAAGTGACACATATGTTCTAGGAACTATCTATTACAGATTAGACAAGATAAGCACAGATAACATATAGATAAATAAGGATACTACAGATAATAAAACATGATAACATACAGCTGGACAAGAAAGACTTTGACGCGTTGCCAGCTGGAACTAATACTGATTTGGACTGAAGCTGACTTCGGACCATATCCCATGAATAGACAATCATCTGAACATAGTACCTCCTCTTTTTCAACTCGATAAAAATAACAAATATCAAAACCGATTGAGTCGTAGTGTACCAGATTGCCACAGGTACCTTTTATGATACTGTAATGTCCCAAAAGGAGGCTGCTGAGCAGGATCGTGAGAGGGCAGATCCCGCCCGTCAAAGGCGTCGAGGAAACAACTGCGGCGCCTAATATGTTGGTTCCCTACCTACAATATTGGCAGGCAAACTTTTGAGAGTACAACATAGAGTGGGGAATATAGGCGCCCACATAATGACCTCAAGGATGACGGCGGGAGGTACCGTAACAGGCGTTGCACCGTGGGGGCTCCGGAGTTGGTCTATTAAACTGTCAAACACCGCGAGGACACCGGTGACTTTGTGTCTGTAATGACGGTATTCAAAGGGTTAAGAGAACCCGGTGCCTTTTTCAGATGCGGATGGTGGCCACCAGGGAGGTTTTAGTGGGGGTAATAATCCCACACTCCCTAGTGGTTTTTTCCCCAAAAAGCTAGGCGCCTAGTGAAGGTTTACCCCATCAACAAAAAAAAAAAAGATTGCCACAGGTTTTTTTTATGGCATAAGCCTGTAAACGAGCAGACGGATCACCTGATGGTAAGCTATCGGCGTCGCCCATGGACACCTGGAACACCAGAGGCGTTACAAGTGCGTTACCGGCTTTTTGGGGATTAGGAGTTTGAGGATTCAGGGATTGGGGAGATTGGGGAAAGGGAGGGTAATTGGGCTTCCGGTAACCTCACTCACACGACGAAACACAACGCAAGCGTTGCTTCACGTCGGTTTTCTGTGAGGCCGTGGTATCACTTCCGTCGAGCCGGCACGTTCGTGCCAAAGCATGGCTCTCCCACACTTGGTATAATACTAGCGGCCTCAATTTTTGCCAAGCTGTGTTTACACAACAGAATGGACAAGTTAAACATAATCAATATATCATGGTCGCGCTTCGTACGATTTTTGTGCACATTCTTTATACACTATATATAAATTTCGATTGCCTCGTTGCCCGAGTGGTCGCAAGTGCGACTGCCGGGCAAGGGGTCTCGGTTTCGGCAAAGTATTACTGGGTTTTCAAAAATCTCAGTAGTAGCACGGAGTCTGGAAATGTGCCCGGTATATGGCAATAGGCTCACCCCCTTTTACATGGGACTCATAACATAAATAGTGAAAAGTGGGTGTTACATTGTACAGTGGTCGAAATGTGCACCTCTGACTACCCCTTCCCTTTACCCTTCTAATGTTATGTTATTTATAATTTCTTTTCTTAACTTTTCAGGACGGTGGCGTAAATGTCGTGGACGGCATTGATTTTGGGGGAGGCGGTGGAGGAGTCCACGTGGTCGAGTCTATGGACTTTGGAGGAGGTGGGGTCAACGTAGTCGATGGAATTGACTATGGCGGCGGCGGCGGCGTCAACATAGTTGATTACGGCGGCGGCGGTGGGGTCAATATAGTCGATGGGATTGATTACGGCGGCGGCGGTGGGGTCAACGTAGTCGATTATGCTGGAGGCGGCGGGGTTAACATAGTCGACGGTATCGACTATGGCGGCGGCGGCGGAGTTAATATAGTCGACCACCATGGAGGTGGTGGCGTTAATGTAGTTGATGGCGTTCAATACGGCGGCGGTGGCCGGTGGTAGATACAAAATTAATTGTAGAAATTGTACATACATAGTTTTAAGGTTTTTATAATAACTATCAGTGAGACATACTAAATTAAATAAAAATAGCGGGTTATTCACGTGAATATAGTGAGAAAAGCTCTACTAGTTTCGAACCACAGAGGTTCTTCATCATAGCTGTCATGAGCAGCGTGCGCGGTCGCGGCGATGTCGCGCAGCCTAATAACTAACCAACTCATATGCCTTATTCACACTACGCTAGTATTGTAGTCGCGAATATTCAGTAGTCCTCACTTGCTTCTAAAATGGAAATGACAGTGAACTACTAAATATTCGCAAATATTTCGAGCATTTCTTTATTGAAACAAAGAGTTTCCTTTTCTTGTATAGAAGCACTAATTCTATGGATTGTCAGTATGCATATGTGAGCACAATGTTGGACTTTAAAATTTTTTTTTTTTTAGTAAGTTATTAGTATAATGCGTCAAGCGTGTCTTTGCATTGTTCTTACATATGCGTACAGTATTGAAATATGTATCAGAGACATTGTAGAACATACTTTTTTAAAAAGAGTAACGAATGGAGTTTCTTGCTCGTTCTTCTCCATTCGAATCTACTTATTGGAATGAGCACCTAGCTTCACCTAGTTTCACTGACGGACTGACTGACAGACTATTATTTATTTTGTATTTGTTGACGTTTCAAAAGTACCAAACTATGGTTTAATTGAAATAAATGCTTTGACTTTGACTATACTAAATTACTAGCGTCGTGCAAACAAAGCATTAAAGAGGCTAACTAGTAGATATTTTCTCAGTATATTCACGTGTGTAACCCGCGATTTATAGTTAATATAGTTTTCGAGTTTACATTAGGAAATTAAGTTATAATATTTAGTCAATTTTTTAATTTATTCTGTTGTTATACTTCCCATCGAAAATGTATTGGAAATTTTCGAAGGGTAAGCAGGAAGACTAGATTTACAGCTGTGTGTATATTGTACAATATAATGAACGTACCTACATAATTAATATTATAAATGAGAACGTGTGTGTGTGGGTCTGTTTATTTGTTCGTCTCCTACGGCAGAAAGGAGTGACGGATTGACATGATATTTTAAGTGGAGATGGTCAAAGAGATGGAGAGTAACATAGGATATAAAACGCGTGACAGTAGCTTGTAACTAATAATTATATATTATTATATATAAATACTGACTGCCTCGTTGGCCCAGTCACAGTGGTCGCAAGTGCGACTGCCGGGCAAGGGGTCACGGGTTCGATTCCCAGGTCAGGCAAAGTATTACTGGGTTTTTAAAAAAAATCTCAGTGGTAGCACGGAGTCTGGAAATGTGCCTGGTATATGGCAATAGGCTCACCCCCTATTACATGGGACTCATAACATAAACAGTGGAAAGTGGGTGTTACACTGTATAGTGGCATAAGGTGCACCTCTGCCTACCCCTTCGGGGATAAAAGGCGTGATGTTATGTAATGTTATGCAAATACTGATACAATTTTATAAATCTATCTTTTGATACGCCTTCTATGATTCTCTCGCTTTTTATTGGCTAAAGGTCATAGATTAAAAATGTTGAGAATTGTATTTTTCTGTTGGTAACACAAATGAAATATTGTTAATAATATTCAAATTGTGCTATACTCCATTATTCAAAATATAGTTTCTTAATCTGTCACTTGATTCTACATATTTGAGAAGTGAGTATTTTGTGTATATATTTTTAAATAGATGAACCATATTAAAAATATGATTTTATTTATAGATAAAAATCTTGTTCAATGCAATTTTTCGCTTAAGCCAGTTTTACCCTCTTTGAGGGACAACTTAATATCATATCTAATTTTTTACCTCATTTCTAACTTTTTTACCTATGTAGTTAGATTTATTACTCAAATTATTTACCCACACAATGACATTAACATCAACAAATGTTTACTAAAACTGACATATTTTAATATATAGATAAATACATGTGACACTTTACATACAGAGCCGTATTACCCCTAAGGCGCTCTAGACAAGTGCCGGGCGCCAGGTTACAGAGGGGCGCCGCGAGACGCGCGTGTACAACTGCACATAGAGTGACGGCGGGGACAAAACAAATGAAGGGCGCCAATGAGGTGCTTGTCTAGGGCGCTCTGTAGGTGAAATCCGCCTCTGGTTTACACTCAGAATAATTCGTATAAGAAAATTAGAACATTCGGCTAGATTGTATATTAGATAATAATTGTGTTATGTATATACAGGCTGTGTCGTGTAAATTATTTCCAAAACGAATGGTGCATTTGTGTAAAAATGAATAAATTATATGAAATGATTTTAGTTATTTTCTTTACTACGTTTTTGAATGGAATAAGCCGGTAAACGAGCAGACGGATCAGCTGGTAAGCAATCGGCGTCGCCCATGGACATCTGAAACACCAGAGGCGTTACAAGTGGGTTACCGGCCTTTTGGGGATTAGGAATTTTAGGATTGTGGGGGATTCAGGGATTGGGGAGACTGAGGAGGGGGGGATAAAGTTGCTCTGGTATTACTAACGTACAGTCGGCCAAGTCATTCAGTACGCAGGTAAGAAAATAAAGATTGATTCAGTACAGAGATTTCGATTAGAGGGTTCGATTCCCGGGTCGGGCAAAGTATTACTGGGTTTTTAAAAATCTCAGTAGTAGCACGGAGTCTGGAAATGTGCCCGGTACATGGCAATAGGCTCACCCCCTATTACATGGGACTCATAACATAAATAGTGAAAAGTGGGTGTTACATTGTACAGTGGCATTAAGTGCCGTAATGTATGTACATGCCTACCCCTTAAGGGATAAAAAGGCGTGATGTTATGTTGTGTTAGGTCAGTACAGAGACAGTAACCATTGGTTGTCTAGAGCCGATCAGCAGGTTTAATAGTGAAAGGATATAGAGAGTAAGTATAGTCCTTGTATTGGCTATGTGCGCGACGGTGGCGACGCGTAGCGTTTACGACATTAGCGCCAGCGGAAGCTGTCAAATGATAACAATGTAAACATTATAATTTTCTTTTCAAATATAAATAACACCAAAAATTAAAATAGTATTGTTGACATTATTAAAGTGCAATTTATTCAATAGTTTTACTGTAAAATGAATATAATAATAAAAACCGGGTTTGAAACTGTTACACATAATATTAGTTTCCAACCACAAACTGAGACAAAAGGCAATAAATTAGTATTAGCCGAGCGTGTAAGAAATGTGGAAGAACTGCGACATAACGGCCAGAGCTACTTAATACGAGCCATGGTCCATTTCTTTGCTTTGATTTTGTACTGCAATTAACACATTTGACAGCTGATCATCCGCATTTGTTTCCAATTTCTGCCGTGTTGTGCGCTGCGTTCGTTATCTGTCCGCCATTACTCGCTTTGCACATAGCCAATAGTCTACATTATGTCCAGAATATAGTCCCCGTCAAATCTATAGGAGTCCCTTAACCTCTTATCTGTCGATAGACCTGCGTTCCAACACTTCACAGGTTAATAGGCTCGTACTTATGACACTCGTACATGAACATCTTTTTGAGTAGACTACGTTTATACATATATACCACTGCTACTCTTCCCATGGGTGTCGAATACCCGACTAAGGGACTACACATTTGACAGAGACCGGGCAGCAGCGCTCTCTGATAAACCTGAACCTTTTACATTGCGATATTCAACCTGACTGCGGAGATGATGGCAAACCCTCTTACGTAGATGAGGCATATAGTCCGGCAATGGTCTGTCACGATCTGATGACGAAGTTGTGACCAAAAGCTTGTAAATAAGAAGACAATACTGTCTTCCCTCTTTTTTTAAAGCATTGGTTGGCAATTTAGCAGCTGGATCACCTGATGGTAAGCACATTTGAGCAGACGGATCACTTGATGGTCAGCACATTTGAGCAGACAGATCATAGCAATCGGTAACGCCCATGGATACCCGGAAGACTAAAGGAGGTACCACGGCCTCACAGAAAACCGACGTGAAGCAACGCTTGCGTTGTGTTTCGTCGTGTAAGTGAAGATACCGGAGGCCCAATTACCCTCCCCTTCCCCAATTCCTGAATCCCCAACGATCTTCAAACTCCTAATCCCCAAAAGGCCGGTAACGCACTTGTAACGCCTCTGATGTTCCAGGTGTCCATGGGCGACGCCGATTGCTTACCATCAGGTGATACGTCTGCTTGTTTACCAGCTTATGCCATAAAAAAAAAAATGATAGTCATGAAAAGACTTTTCTGACGAAATACTGACTGTCTGGTGTTTATTGGTCGGTACGTACATATATTTCCTATCTATACTGTTAGTGAATAGGAACGCAACTAAAACACATTTCTTTTTTTTATCTATGGCGCCACTATTGTTCATCCCGTTTGTCTATGTTTTTGTAAAACTCAGGATACCGTGTTTCTAAATAAAACTTCTACTAGTTAAAATACGCTTTAATTATTTACCACAACCACGATTCATATTCCTTTACTTATATACATATTCGCCCGTCATCCTTTTAAAAGGAAAAATATTCAAAGTCAAAGTCAAAGTCAAAATCATTTATTTCAATTAGACCAGAAAGGCACTTTTGAACGTCAATAATAAAATTAGAAGTGAAGCTATATGCTCATTCCAAGGTGTAGATTCCTATGGAGAAGAACGAGCAAGAAACTCCATAGGTTACTCTTTTTCAATCAGGTTCACAATACAATTCTCTAGTTACATAGTTTGCTGTTTGGATTATGCGAGAACAATGTAACACTAAAATCTAGTCATAGTGATTGAAAAAGAAAATAACCTTAAAGACAATAAATAATACAGTCTGGAGCTGACCAGTCCCAGTTGACGGCGCCCGTTCACGAACATGACACGTACACCAGCACCGCCCAAATCAACCATATTGTAGGGAATCGAGCGATCCACTGCACGCGCCACCGCCAATGAGACCTTTGAGTGAGCATGACAACTCCACGCTGAC